GGTTGGGGAGGGGGCCAGAGAAAACTACAGAGTCCAACATAGTCTTTGCAAAGTTACAGACCGAAGCAACGTTAATTTTAGTAACCTCCGATTGACGTGACCGAGTGTCATTTACACCGACTTGAATCACAACCTTACTGTACCTAGCATTAGCATTAGCCAGTAGTTTCAAGTAGGATTCTAAGTCGCCCACTCTGACCCCTGGAATGCATTTAATCATGGCTGTTGGAGTCCCTAAATCCATGTTTCAGACCATGGAGCTGTCAATAACCAGGGTTTGTTTCTRGACCGGAGTGTCGCTGAGTGGGGAGAAGCGATTAGAAACATCAACGGGTTTGATGGTCAGGAGGTATAGCTTTAGCACTGCCTTTTTTCCGATCCGTCACCCAGCTAGCTCGGGGTGGTGGCCTCATGGGATCCACCGTGAGACCGCTTACTGGAGAGGCTTCTCTCGGCGGCTCAATGCTAACCTGGCTAGCTGTTGGCTTCTCAACAGCGTGGAGCCGAGCTTCTAATTCAGACAGCCTRGTCTCWAAAGCTGCCATAAGTCCACATTTAATACAAATGTTGTCATCACCAAACGAGACAGGGGAWAYGCTAAACATCTCACAGACGGAGCAAGTGAGGAAAGCCGAGGTCGGAAAAGAAGCAGCCATGATGCTAAGCAAATGTTAGCGAGAGCTACAAGATCCCGAAARWCACAAKTAAAACCAAGAAGTGTTGAAAAATAAAAMATGTTTTAAGCACAGTCCCAATATTAAGAACAAACGATATCAAGGGTGATTTAGGACTAGAAGTAGAACCGTGCAAAGGTAGKTAATCCAGTAAGTTGAAGAAATTCTCCAAARAYARAAATWGCCTATATGCCAKGGACATCCGGCCCAGCACTGGATGCCACTCCCAGCACTTCCAGTTCACAGTCAACACAGTGTTAGCGAAAGATTTTTTCACCCYACAACGACTCTTAATGATCTCCACWGTACAGAATTATCATATTACATGTACCAACATTAACACAYGAGATGRACAGGTCCAGCCAAGTGGAAAAAGTCACTCCAAAGTGGATTAAAGCCATAAAAACAAAGGAAAGACGTTCATGTTGATGGTTCCAGAATTTAGCCTTTTTCACTATTCCTTGGCTGCTTGTTCCGTGAATCTTTCACGTAGAGCTGTGACACTTATATTGTTGTAAAGAGCAGAGTCTGGGCTTTAAATCGATGGGCTACTTGTATGGTTTGGATCATTTTCCCCGACGTTGGTGAACTGAAAATGTAATGATTATCAGGCAGAGGGGGGAGGAGGGAGGGGGGGGGCTCTTGTTACTTGGCTTTAGTCTACGCTGTAATATACACTCTAACAAGGTTTTACTTTTGCATAAAACTGATGACAAAGTCGCATAAAACATTTCATATAACACAAACGCGCGCGCACACACACCTACCTTTGTACCGGCTGCTGTGTTAGCTTCCTGCTAGCTGTCCTCTGGAGGAGGTCTGTCCTCTCTCCTCTTGGCAGTAAAAGGGGATAAATGTACATTTCTCATTTGTAACCTCCATCTTCTCATTTCTGATGCTGGCTCTTGAATATCCTCAGGTTAGAAGTGCTGATTACAAACACAAGCGTGAGCTTTTAAATATAAGTTTTCCCTGTAATGCTATGATCCTCTGCTGTCACCTCCTCAAGAGGAAAATGGATAAAAACTAACTACTCTATCGTACCTTCTGGTTAGTGGACACAACGGCACACAACAGAACTCACGTTTTATACCAGTAGATCACAGATGCTTTAACTTTTGGGACTTTTTCATGGACTAGTACTAGGAGCTCACACTAAAAACATAGGCAGTAACCAGGAAGTGGAAGGGAGGAGCGTGGCAAGAATTTTACCGGAAATACGTCATTAATGACAGTGGCGTATAGGCTGTTGTCGAGCACCAGCAGCAAAGCAGAAAATGATACAATATGTTACCCCACGTCTATCCTCACCCTGTCCCCTGAAAACAGGAGCAGGTYTATGGAGGAAGACGGTTTGGTAGGAACTCCAAAGTTTGTGGTGCAGCGGGTCAGAAGCTCATTGTATGGCAGGCCAATCTATCATTTATTTGGCTTCACCACACTTATATTGTAGTTATCTGAAATTGTTTTATGACTAAATTAGACATATTAGTTATTTAAGATAAAATAATAAAATGTTTTCTTTTATTATTTTGTTTTATTTACTTTTTTTAATTTGGAGAACTGTACAGCTTGAGATTGTTTGTTTGTTGAAGTTGATTTTTGAAAATAAGGGGCAAATATGATAAAATGTTTTTTACTTCACTCTGCACCCTTTTACTTCAGGGTATGATTTACTTTGTTTTTTTTAATGCTGTACATAGATGGTTTTGTTTTTATGAATGAAAGAAAGAAACAAAAAATAAATAGACATCTCTTAATATATTTTGACAATTCAAAATACCTATTTAAGATATCTCTAATTATATTCTGACTTGTATAAATAACATTAGATTTATCATCATGTTGTATGGAGAATCCAGTTCAAGATATCTTAAATTTATCTTTGGATGTAAGATTCACTATATAAGATTTAATTAACGCAAATTTCAGACTTTTTCATGTTCTGTAAATTGTATTTAAAACAAAGCTGCTGCTGCTGATCTTTCTGTTTTATAAGCCCCGCCCCCAAGGCCAATACTCTAGGGAAACACTTTTTTGAAGATGTTCTTGATAAAACAATTGACTGTTAGTAACTCAGTCTAAAATGTTTGCATCTGTTTAATCAGATGTCATATATTATATACCTCTTTATAACCATGGTATTTTTGTAGTACAAAGTACAGTACAAGTTTTTCTTATTTTATCAAAAATTTGAATATTTTTGTTTCGGGCAGGTAACTTTTCATGTCGGGCAGGTAAAAAAATGAAATCTTGTCGAACCCTGGTGCAACTAATTGTTAGATTAGTGGTGCTCAGCACTGGGACAGTGCGTCTCTGATGTGGACGTGTTGTGTGTCTGTGTGCAGCTGCCGGGGCTGTGTCCTGAGCAGGTGGGGCTGTAACTGGTGCGTTCACCAGCACTCCTGCACCCACAAGCCCACCTGTGAGGACGGAGTCATCATCTACAACCAACATGTAAGTAACACGCAGACATCACACAACCACACAACCTGCAGCTAGGACACYTGGGGGGACTACAAAATAAACGTTCAGAATAAACCCCATCAGTCGGTTAGTTCTGCTGCTCCGGTCGGTTGACTGAAGTTCTGACACGATCAGAACCAGCAGAACTTGCAGAYCTCATTTGTAACAAATCATTGTTGTTCCTGATCCGTCTGTTCCTGTAACACTTTTTATTTTAGTTATTTTATTTTGCTTTTATTTTTGTTCTTTTTGCCCCTCCCCCTCCTCAGTTTAAACTCCCCACCTCTCCTCCTCCCACCGTCAAAACCCTTAAAGTGGTCCCATCTACACCTGCTCCAACAACCACCACGACTACCCCCCCTACAACAGCTGTTGTCACCATAGCAACCACTCCCCCTGGCACCGAGCTGACCACTCTGCCCCCGGCTCAGCCTCCCAGCACCCGCCCGCCCCCTGCTGCCACCAGCAGGGCGGGGTTTGCCACTGCAGGGTGGGAGCGAGCCARTCAGAGCGAAGCRGAGGACTCGGCGGTCACGCCCAGCYTTGCCGTGYCAACAGRAGAAGCCACGCCCTTCACCGGGGGCGATGGTCTGAGCGGGGACCTGGAGCCCGCCGTGCCCCTGCTGATCTCAGAGACCCCGGCCTCYGAGGTGGTGACGGGCTCCCCCACCAGCTACGTTCAGGAAGTGGAGGGAGCCCTAAGCCTGGCAGAGCCCCCCGTCTCACCTGACGTCCCCCTGGCCACGCCCCCTCCTGAAGAGGAAGCAGCTGACTCAGAGCCCCCCGTGAACCTGGACCCGACCCAGACCTCCACGCCGCGAGGCTCCATGAGGGAGGAGGGAGGCACCGAGACCCCGGTGCTGCTGTGGTCAGACGCTGACGTCCCGGCTGAGGGGGCTGCAGGAAATGACTCCGCCCCCACCCTGCTGTCAGGGGACGGGGAGGTGGAGCATGAGCCCCCCCCTTACCCACACATGGTGGAGACTGACTCAGAACCGGATCTGGATTACCAGAATGATCAGACTGACAGTCTGCTCCCGGTGAGTTCCACTGCTGCGCCATCCTCCTCCTCCTACTCCTCCTCCTCCTCCTCCTCCTCCTATCCCAGCCCATCCTGGCTCTGGATGTTCTGCTTTCTGTTGCACTCACCCTGAAAACATCTTGTTTCTGTTAATGTTTCTGATTTCCTTGCTGACTGCTCAGTATCTCTTTAACAAAGTGATGGATAGCACAAGCCTGTGTTCTTCAGTCCTCTGAGTGAATGAGACTAAAACTTGGCGACAAATGTCAGACATAACATTATGACCAGCTGCTGAACACTGTGTAGAAAAGTCTGACACATCTCCTCCTGAACCGTTGTGGATCTCTGAAGATAAGATGAGATGAGATGAGATAAGATAAGATAAGATAAGATAAGATAAGATAAGATAAGATAAGATAAGATAA